CACAGTGATCCTGTAGGACAGGGTGGAACTGTGCTTGATCCCCACTCACAGTGATCCTGTAGGACAGGGTGGAACTGCGCTTGATGCCCACTCACTGATCCTGTAGGACAGGGTGGAACTGCGCTTGATGCCCACTCACAGTGACCCTATAGGACAGGGTGGAACTGTGCTTGATGCCCACTCACAGTGATCCTGTAGGACAGGGTGGAACTGCGCTTGATGCCCACTTACAGTGACCCTGTAAGACAGGCGCTTGATGCCCACTTACAGTGACCCTGTAAGACAGGCGCTTGATGCCCACTCACAGTGATCCTGTAGGACAGGGTGGAACTGCGCTTCCAAGACTAAATCTTTATGAGAGTAGAAATCCCTTTTCCCATGGAGTGATAAGTGGTTTCCGACGGCTGCCCTTTCGGATCACAGCCCGGCACATCACCACGACACCCCTGGAATGCTGACTTGGAGGTAGGGAATTCAAATACGAGTCAACAACGAAAAGCAGAGGGCAGTTCTGGAGCAGTGTTATGACATTAACAGGAAGATAATGTCTCTAGTTGCCAAGAAGAAACACAGAGCTTCCTCAAGAACAGATTCAAAGTATTACATAAGAGGGTGATGCCTCCCTCTTCCCAGCAGGAGCCACATACCTGCTCGCGGGAGGGGGCAGCCGTGCAGCACAGCTTTGTGAAGCAAGATGCTGAGAGCAGCTTTCACCACAGCCTGCTGCCCGGGGCTGGGGTGTTTCTTAGCAGCTGTTTGTCCAAGACCGGGTTGTCTGTTCACAGAGGCTCTTGACAGTATGGCATCTTGCACTCTGGGGGCAATGACGGCGTTCCACAGCTTGGACATCCACCTTGCAAGAGAGGATCAGAGGTTCCGTCAAAGTCAAGAGCAGACCCCTGGTGACTTGCATGCAACTGCAAAAAGGGCAGTTGGTAAGACCATTGGAGAGCAAGGAATTTCACTTTGTCCAAAAAGAGATCTGGCCTTTGCCCTTGGCTCTGGGGCGGTCATCTTTGTGCGAGGCCTGGGGTGAGATAAGACTATGATGTAAGGGAGGGCTCGGGGGTTCAGCTAACCTGACAACTGACACAAAGAATCAATCATGCAGATGTAAGAGACCCAAATAAAAACCAAGCACTGAAGCTCCCGGGATCCCTGGTCGGCAATCCTCGGACAACAGGAAGGATCTACCGTCTCCCTCCCCGGGCATGGGGAGTGAATGGAAGCTCCATATGAGGTTCCACTCTCGGCTGATTTTAATCTGTCTCCTTTTCTGCCATACACTGCCATCTGGGGTTTAACAGTCGCAGTGACATCTGAATCCTTCTAGCACATCACGGAACCTCAGGGGGCGCTGAGGACCCTTCTTCCTGTGATGGATGCATGTATCACCTCAACATCAGTCTTGGAAGCCCAAGCCCGGTACCTGTGGATTTAATTCTATGTAGAAGTAACGCTCTCTTTATGATACTAATCCATATCATGATAGGGTGTGTCGTGAAACGTAGTCACTCTGAGTGATTAAAGGAGCAGGTAATAAGCAGAGGTAGACATGTGAGGATGGCCAAGGACCAAGGAACATGCAGAGCTATCAGTGAGAATGTGATTCAGACTACTAGCCTCCAGAGCTGTGAGAAAATAAACCCATCCTCTTTAAAGCCCCCCTCTGGGGTATATGGGCTCCACAGCACTAGGAACCCAGGTCAGCCCCGAGCTTGGAGTTGGTAGCAGAGCTGAGAAGTCTGTCATGGGACTATTCCAACTACTTCGTTGGCCTAAGTTCCTGCAACCCTGGAAAAGCTAAAGCATTTCTGTAGATTTGCTATGTTTTCCAGGTAGTCTTGCCATCCTCGGGCGCAGGAATCAAGGCTTGCGAGTTTGTTAAATGAACGAATACATGGATAAATGAATATATGGGGTAAAGGTCACTTTGTAGATGAAAAGAACTGAGCAGGAGAAATAAGATTTTGTGAGTCTCAAACTAGTTTATACACACATCTGCTGTGTATCCTTACTACTGAGACACACCCATTTTACATGCAAATATTTATGAAGTTGGATGCATCTTATAATTGCTGGTAAACCCAGATCACGGGCTCTGTGTTTGCATGTAGGTGTACTAGCCCTGTAGTAAGGGGATGTTGTCGACCAGCCATCCCTTCAATGCAGTTCCACATTAAAGCTAGAAGCAGCTATTAAATTAAACCATCTCCACTTAGCTTTCAGCCACTCAATGCCAATGACATTCCTTAGAAAAGATTAAAATTTGTTTTAGATTTTAAAGACAAATTCTGAAACAAAGTACTTATATTATTAAATGTTGTAGAAATAAAACCAAATGTTCCCAAATAGGAAAGTGCTCAAAGCATAAGCCATCCAGGTATTGTTAAAACTATTACTCAGGTATCAAACACCCATCGGTTGTATGTTTCTCAGTTTAATTTCTGGTGATAGCTAATTCAGAATGTAACTCAAGTAAAAGGGGAAACGGAAATAGGGAATTTAGACACAATTCTGATATTCTACAACATGAAGACAACAACAACAATGACAACAAAACCCTACTGTTGATTCTGACTCATTGCCACCCTAAAGGACAGAGTCCACCTGCCCCATTGGGTGACCAAGGCTGGACTCTCTCTGGACTCCCACCACCATAGCTTTTCCCCACAGAATGGCTGGTGGGTTTGAATGGCCAACCTTTTGCTTAATCCCCTGCATTCTCAGAGATCCTTTTCTACAACAGGAATCAAAAGGCATGATTTGCAAAGGTGCTAAGGGGTGCAGATGACTCATTTGGTCATGAATCACTCTGGCTGGTGGGAGACAGTCATGCCCTGTACATTTTGTGTCAGCATCTTTTCGTAGATGAGCACATGCAGTCTCTGACTTGTGACTTGTGACAGGGTTCTTTTCCAATGACTGTCAGAAGCTGTTCTGATGTAAATCAAATGCTGCATCTTTCTTTCAGTGTTCATGATTATTCCCCTGTATTAGTAGTACCTTTATAAACCTGGCAGCAGTTTGAACAGCAGGCCATAAAATTCCACATCTGCAAATGATAACACCAACACATTTCTAACAATCTGATATGCAGAGAGGAGAGGAGAGAGAGAAAGGGTTATAAGTGTAGTTTGTCGTAATTCAAATAGGGTGTAAGTCAAGGACTACCTGAATAGCAGTCAGAGCTGGTGTCTCCTGCAGCAGAGGCGGCTGTTTCCTGACCAGAATAAGGATGGGGGTGTGGGGTGTGTGTGTGTGTGTGTGTGTGTTTTAATTCCAGGGCAAAGGGTTGACAGAACTGCCACCAGTCCCCAAGACTGCAAGATCCCCGAGCCCAGCACCTCGCTGGGCGGAGCTGGGGAGCTTATGAAGCACATGCTGCTGCTGCGCTGTCACACTGTGAGTTCTTTCTTGTCTGAGGGGGGTGCTCACGGGAACTGCGGCGGGCTAACCGATCAGCTGGCAAACAGAGGAAAGAGAAAGTCCTGTCTTCGCCGTCCTCGACAAAGACTATGCTCAACCAGGAAAGGTCAAAAGTGGTTCCAAAGGCTCTTGAAAGCAGATGCAGAAAAGAACTAACTGTGATGCTGCTGAGAGGCGATTGTGTATTTCTGCTGTTAGCTGTATTTAATACGGTGCAATGGTAGTTCGGGAGTAGAATTCTTGCCTTCCTTACAGGAGACCCAAGTATAGTTCTTGGCGACCTGTCCTCCTGTGCAGCTGCCATCTGACTGTCAGGCCTGCATGTTGCAGGCCTGTTGATGATTAACAGGGTCCAGCAGAGCTTCCAGGCTGAGGGTGACCAGGAAGAAAGTTCTGACCATCTACAACCCAAACCAGCCATCGAAAATCCTCGGAATCACAACGGTTCAAACAGCAAGCAGCCAAACTGGGCAGCATTTCCTGTCATTGCGTGTGGGGTTATGTGAGCTGAGGGCCAATCTGAGGACTGTGAATGACAGGATTGAACGCAGCACACCTCCATCTTCCTCCAACTAGCAGATCCTAAACAAGTGGTCTGTCTTACTGTAAAGAGATATTATATTGTAAAGATAGGTGATTTACACCATGCCTTCTGTGGGAGTTACATAATCTGTTGTCAAATTGAGGCTTAAGAGTGAAGGGGTGGAGTCCAGCCTGTCAATCAGGTAGTAGCCTGATGACCTCATCTGGAGGCACTAAGGAGATAAATAGCTCGCTGGAGGCCAGCCACACACTCACTCCCTGGAGACTGCTGTTGACAAGCCACTTGGAGAGAGGCTGATGGAGTCAGAGCCCTGGAGCCGAGGAGTCACGTGGAGACTCATGCCAGCAGTGAGATGCTTACATCACCACTGGACCTACAAGCTTTCCACCTCCTGGCTTGTGATCTTCCTGCATTCGACATCATTGCATGCATTGCACAAGTCTGAAGAGGACTTTATAGACTGGTATCAGACACATGGGCTAATATCAGACTTATGTACTTGATCTGGACTGGGCTGGGATGTTTTCTCAATATTCAATTGCTCTTGTATATAAAGCTCTTCCTTATACACATAGAAGTATCTATGAATTTGTTTCTCTAGTCAACCCGGACTCACACACCTTCCTATAGAGACTGCAGCCAGAAGAGCCGAATCATGTCTGATCACCAATGACAAACCCTCTGCTGTCTGCGCGGCGACCAATTTCTCTTTCTTTTCAATTGGCTCTTGATTTTCTCTTCCCTTAACCTTACTGCCTGTGTGTCTGTCTGCTTAGAGCGCTGTAAGGGGAACAAGGAAGTATGCCTGGAGGAAGATGTTCACTTGGTCAATCACGTGGAATTTTTAGTGTCTACCTCCCTGATAATAATACTTGACAACATTTCTCATGTCAGATCTTGCCCGAAAGACAAAAAAATGTGTCTTCGAGCATGTCAACGCTGAACATTGTTTTGAGGAGGGTTTTGTAAGTAGGGAGAACCCACCGTACTGCTCACTCCATTGGGATGACAGGAGGGGGCAAGGGGCCAGCATTCTAACTCACCAGCATCCCCCAGGTGCCCTGGGCCCTCTTTCCACAGCCACGCACTGAGCAACGGCACTTACTTCACTGTTGCTTGTGCATGTCCGGGGACTACCGGACAAGACAGGAAACACTTCGGTCCCAGCAGTGCTTCAGGTGTGCCCAGGTGCGAGAGGCAGGAGTTGAGCTGGCGCCAGACGGACAGGGCCCAGTCGACCATCTTGCACACGGGTTCGCCAGGCGAGGGGAGCTTTCCTCGGAACTAGGAAGACGGGGGCAGAACACAGGGCCTGGCTCAGAGCGGGGCTTCTTGCCCTTGTTTTAAAAAGTTCGAAATGTACATACCGAACACGATGACAACGGAACAATTGAGAATGTAGCTGCTTCAGCCTGCACTTCACTTGCAGTGGGTGCGGGAGGCCCAGCTGATAACGCACTGGTGTTAAGGTGTTCTTCTGATAAGCATTTCTCTCATTCAGTTCTCAGCACGAGCTTGAAGAAGGCAGTTCTTTCGCATTTTACATATCAGGAAGTTGAGGTACAAAGTCCTCTTAATAACTGTCTAATGAATGACTTTTGGAGACCCGCCCGTTTGGGGTGCTGGGAGAGAGGTCGATGTTATAACACCGGAAGGCAGAATGCAAGGTGCCTGCCCTAAGGGCACGAGGGACTAAGGGGGCCCCTTTCTCAACAGCAGAGATGCCATTTCTGTGGAATTTCTCCTCTTACAAGTATGGGAAATGTGGGTGTTCTTTGATAATACAAGCAAAACTGGTGTCTCCTTCATACAGGGTTATCCAATACAGAGAATTTCCAGTTATCACAGGCTTTTTTTTTTTTTAAGTTCTGTCTTTAATATATAGTCCCTTAAAGTGAAGGCAATTTTGTGAAGATGCTTTGGGGTCTGTGTTTTAAAAATATATATTGATTTCTACATCCTTCTCTTCCCCATCCAGATCCCCCCTTCCTCTGTTGCTCCCGGTGAACAGAGACCCATGGGTGCAGCTGGGGTGAATCACATGTAAGCTTTTAGTACCCCCGACTGCTAGGCAACAAACTTGGGAGGTGGAGAAGAGGCACCGAACACAGGATTAGGCTGATTGATCAAGTGTCCCACAAAGCCAGGAGCCTAGGTCTCTAAACCAAGAAACCAAATCCCACGAAGCGACCATGAGCAGTCTCGGCAGCTGCTCTTCGTTGCGCTTGTAAACACACACAACACTGGCCAATTCAACTTTTTATAAGTGTATAACTTATTGACCTCAATTACATTAGTCGTCTAGACAACCCTTCGCCATCGTTCATTAATTGCCTCCAAGAGCAACTGCGTTCTGTGCCACACATCCAGAAGCACGAGGTGATGCCCAGCTGCTGCTGCTGAATGTTCTGATCAGCGCTTCTAAAGAAAGCATCCTGATCAACAGGGAGAAAGTTCCCACGGAATCCGGAGTTTCTGAAGCTACAACAGCTGGATGAAAACCTGGGGCCCAGGCCCTCAGACGATCTTTAAACCGTAAACCCCAAACAGCCCCGGGCATCTTCTAAACACCAAACAAGGGTTTAGCATAACTAATAAAAGTGCGTGTGCACCGGCACTCTTTGACATTTCTCCTATGTGGGATCAACCTGAGGGCAACAACGCAAAAGACAAGGAATCGTATGGGCAGTGAGGTTTTGTTCCTGGGGAACAATTCTGAAAGGTGGGGTGAAAACAGTTACACACCTTGAAGAAAGTATGTGAGGAAATTTCCAAGGTGGTATATAGTCTGCTGTGTAAATTATCAACACGTAAATCATTAAAAAACATAGAGAAGAGTACATTTATCACATGCCTGGTAATTATCACTGCCAAGAAGCAAAAAAAGGTAATCTGTGATTGGCAAACCATCAGGGGCCAAACTAACAACAGGTGTGTCCAAAGACAATGGCCATCAAGGTAACGTGCGGGTGAGCTGGGAGGCAGGAGAGCGAGGGCAGAGTCCAGGTATGCTGAGTCCCTGTGATTTCTCTCTGAAGGTTGCAACATGTGTCAAATGAAGGTGGCGGGGCAGACTCCTCTCCCCAAAGTCCCTTCCAGATTAGAAATCCTTAATTAAGCTGCCTGGCGCTGTGGCTAGATTCTGCAGGGTCAGGAAAGGTAGAGAGGAGGTGGGACTTCGGGTAGATCAGAAAGGGTTCAGAGGGACACTTGTCTGGCGAGTAGACATCAGAAAGAGCAGCCCAGATACGGAGCAGGGACGGAAACACGGAGGCGGCATGAAGATGGGTGCTGATGTCAGCAAATTACAAAACAGGTGAAGAAACGACCAGGTGTACAGAAAAACCATCCATGCAACAGCTACTAACGGCTCTTACCTAACATGCCAAACCCATGAGTACATGAGTGTGAAGCCCATGAATACATGAGTGTGAAACAAGGAAGCAAGTAGCACGCAAGACTGATAATGTGTACGGGCCGTGGCCTCATTGGCCCTGAGACCAGAAGCCTTAGATGGCGTCCATCTCCCACCACCAAGACCGTTTCAGACAGGACCACCATGGATGGACCATGGGTGAAAAGAAGAATGGGAAACAGAACCTCAAAATTTTTAAAAGCACAAACACGAAGACTGATTGGCGTGGATGAGGTTAGAGAATCCCCTTAGACTACAGCCCTGATAGACTCTTTAAACCTTGAACTGAAAAACTAGCTCAGAGGTCACCCCTTAGATTTTTAAGATGGTTCGCAAAATAAAGATGATCACCCGTAAGTAGGTGCTCCTTTAAAAACCTTATAGGAGACCAATCAACCATTACTTTAAAAGCAACCTGAGCATGTCAGGTTTGGGTGGGGGGGGGAGGGGACGGACACACAGGGAGGTAAGGAAAGTAGACTAACGGGAGAAAAGCCATGAGAACGGAAATGCTGAGGCTGCTTGTGCATTGTGGGGAATGTAAGCGATGTCATTGAGTGTTGTGTGTGGAAATTGTTGAATGGAACCCTGTTGTAAAACCTTCACTGAAAAAACAATAAAATATCATTTCTTGGAAAAAGGAGGAGCACTTTGGCACTCCTAATTCTCCTTTGCTCTAATACTCTTCCAGCAAAAATTCCGAGATCATGTACTATAATTAGTGATGGCTGAGTATTAACTTACTACAACTCTAAATATAATTATGCTTATTAAATACTACTAGAACAGTGATTGTCTGGGAAGGTCAATTTTCTTATATCCCAGTAAGAAATTGGAGGGGCAGATTGAGGTCAGGTGCCGATGTGCTTTGAAGCGCCCCCAGCACGTCGCGTCGGCTCTGTCCTGCAGGTCTAAGATCTCTGAAGCTGCGCAGTCATCATTTATTCCCAGTGTCTGTGCTCTTCAGGAACCCATCCAGCAGCCTACTGGAAATGGTTCCTGGTCAATGGCAGGCATTACTCTTTCTTCCCCATCTCTGTTCTTCACTCTGTACCCCACACTCCCATTCTCCAACACAGTGGAAAAGAGAAAGCGTGGGGCTTTCAGCATCAGTAAAACCAATTCACCCTTCTTCAGAGAGCTGGGGAGCATACTGTACTTAAAGGGTGCCAATTCTACAAAATAAAAGGGCTCGAGTAGAAAGAAAATGTTTTGAAAATGATGATGGCAACATATGTACATGTGTGCTTGACACAATGGATGCATGTATGGATTGTGAAGAGCCCCTGATAGAATTTTTTTTTAATTGGTACCTCTGGTGATTATGCATATAAGTGTTTTGGGTAATGAGATTCAGATATTAACAACGATGATGTTAACTACGCCTATTGGTAATGTGAAAAGCTACTGGCCTCGGACTGCCTTGACCTTGTCTTTCTACTTACTTGTTGGCGTCATGCATGCTGTGGCTGTTGTTCTTGGACCGAAAGCATCTATTTATGACCGGGCAACTGACTTGAACATAACTGGGGGGGTCAGAAACCTGATTAAACTGGGCATTTCGGGTATTCATTCAAATCACCAGTGGCAGATACTCTTCTACGCTTGTCCTGCCGCCCCCACCCCCACCCCACCCCAATCAATCACCTCAGGCAGCATCTTCACTGAGCTTGTGTCACTAATGTGTCGAGCAGGCTTGGAACTCAAGCCAAGCTCTCTTGATAACCAGGAGACAGGGCCTTGCCTAATGGCCCAAAGATCCTGCCTTGCTGGTTGTTACCTTATTCACAACTTTCCTTCTTAAGAACCTCTGCAGCAGACCCTGCATGGGCTCGCCATCCCACCGCAACTGGACCCAGCGGAAGTGTTGCTGCACCAGCAGGTCGGGGCCCTGGAGACAGGCCTTGGCGATGGTTCCCACCAGAAAGCAGTTCTCATGGAAGTAGTAACATTCGGATGTTCCATTTCCTGCAACAAACCGCATGCTACAGTCCAGCCTCAGCAAGTCATGTAATGGGTCAAACGCACATGAAATAAGTTCGAGAAAGGGGGCACATGAGGCACGGCTTGTACATTGAGGAACAGAGCTAAGAATGATCTCCCCTGCTTCTCCGCCTGGGAAGCTCTCTACCTCTTTACCTTTGTGAAACGTATAGGGGCTTTCAGGGCTGCGATTTTCCAGAGGTGCCAGAAAGTCCCCCAAGAGTTCAGACAACGACGCTCTCTCCAAATTCTCCAAGATGATGATGGTTTTCTTGCTAGCCGGCGATTGCTTCGCTGGGATCAGACAGGCTGTGGTGGAGAAAGAGATGTGGGTATTAAAGCTTTTACAAACATCTACTCACCAAACCCACTGCCATCCAGCTGGTTCACAGGGAACCTATCAGACAGCCTCCCCGTTCGCTAGCAGAAAGGCGGGTGCGTTCGAAGGACTGGTGCTTAGTCGTGTTCCACACTTAGCGGGGAGTGCCGGCAGGCCCTTGGAGAAAAGAACACAGGGCCACGAGCTCCAGTGAAAAGCAGGTACGATGTATCTTTAAGGACACAGAGCTCACACCATAAAACGTTTGAACCCTTAAATGACCTTGACAGTAGACACGTGCAAAACATCCTTAGGATTATGGAGAGGGAAACTCAGAGAGAAATCAGATTCTTGTCCTGACTTAAAAAAGCAAACCAAATCTCAGACAGGTTTAAGGGATTTGACCAAGGTTTGTTATTCCATGGTAGTGGAAGGACTGAAATCTAGAATTTGTGAGTCTTATCATTAGGAGCCCTGGCAGTGTCGTGGTTGCTTATGCTTTGGGTTGCTAGCTTCAAGGTCAGTAGTTCAAAACCACCAGCTGCTCCAGGGGAGAAAGATGAGGCGCTCTATTGCCATAAAGAGTTCCAGTCTTAGAGACCCACAGATGCCGTTCTATCCCGTCCTATAAGGGTGGCATGCGTTGGAACTGGCCCAGTGGCAGTGGCTTTGGGATGTCATCGTTCCTCCCACTAAAAAAGGGAGGGAGACTGAGAGACAGATGGCATATCAACTCAAAATGAAAGACAGAAAGTTAACAGAATTTAGTTATTATTGTAAGAAACAAATAAAGGTGATGCAGAGGCATTTATTAAAATACTGCCTAAGATATACAAAGAACTCAAACATTACTGATAGTTTAATCTATCTATCACTTCCTGTATTAAAAAAAAAAAGTTGGCTTCTAGTCCACTTTGACTCCTGGCGATCCCATGTGTGTCAAAAGTCGAAGGAACACTGCTCCTCAGGGATTCTCAGGGTTGATTTTGCTTTTAAAGTAGATTACCAGGCCTTTCTTCAGAGCTGCTTCTAGGTAGTCTTGAACCTCCAGCCTTTCCGTTAACACCTGAGTTCATTAAACATTCGTTTACCATATTCTTTCATACCAATGAATTCACAAAATAGTCTAACTTGAATTTTAGTGCTTTAGGAGATGCTCCAGGAGAAAGACGGGACTTTCTGCTCCTGCAAACATAACCAGTCTCGGAAACTCAGAGGGGCAGCTCGACCCTGTCCTGCAGGGTGGCGATGAGGTGGCCTCGTTCGATGGCAGTGAGCTTGGCTTGGGGCGTTAGGAGGTCCTCAGATGTCACCATCTTAGCCAACACGACCTGGAAAGACTCAGAAACCAATTGAGACTCCGGACATCACTCACTGTCAAGCACCCACCTTTCACTGGGGCTCAGAGCAGTGCATTCTTCTCCCTCTGCTTGTTGCTATCGACACAGTGTTCTCTCTTCTAAGAGAAGTCCTTGAGTTTTGGGAATGAAGCTCCGCCGAGACAGAAACCGCTCTTTTCTGGGATGCTCGGGAGCCTTTAGAGACCAGAAACAACCACTGCTCCTCCTGGGGGCCCTTGTGCTGGTGCCTGGTGTGTGTGGCTTGCTCACAACTACTCTGAGAGGAGTGCTCACATACTGTGCTTCTTGGGGGCCAATGTTTCATAGACACATTTAATATGGAAACCCCCCCAAAATCTAGATAGTTGGTTAAAGCAATCGTAAGCACTGACCAGATTGGATGGTTTGTTTAAAGTCCAGGTCTGTACTTCGGGACTGACGGTCTCCAGTTTTCCCTTGATGCCCATTAAATATCTGCCTGGCATGAGTAGCCCTGGCTGGTGCTGCAGCTGGCTCGAATGGATCTGTAGGAATGCTGAGTTGTGACTCAACTCATGTCCACGCAGTGCCGCCTTGCTGTGGGCCCAGGGGAGTGCTGCTGAATGGCGTAGGTGGCCGATGCTAACTGAGGGAGGTGGCCTTTGAAGAGGTGGCATTTCAACAGATGAACAGGTGAAAGGTTTTCCCAGTTTCTGAACGGACACAGGCAGAAGGGTAGAAGCTGGAACACTGGCAGGGATCAGGCCTCGGAGTGATGGGGCATCAAACCAAAACTGTCATGATGGGATACTCAGAGTGACGAAGATTAGGCTGGTGACTAAGTGGAGCCAGGTTGGGTAGGAATCAAGCCAGCCCTGCTGTAGGTAAGGGGTAGGCAGCAGGCAGCATCTTCCTCCAGGGGTGTACCCCAGACATGTTTACTCACTGAGTCTGTGCTGCTCCGGGCATTAGCATTTGGAAAATGCTCCCTGAAGACTGTAATGGGCAGCCAGGAGGAAGCTTGCTGATAACAAGACCTTTTGTTTTTATCAAGTCATCCTTCATTGTCCCACCAACTCATTCTCCTCCCATTCAAACTAAACAAAAACCCAAACACATAGCCATCCAGTCAATTCTGACTCATGGTGACCTCATGTGTTTCCTTGCTGTGATCTTCACACAAGGACTGTCTGTGGAGCCAAGGGTTGGATTTAAGCCATTAACCTTTAGGTCAGCAGCAGACTGAAAGCAAACCTTAGAACTCATCCCAAATGAAAAGCAGACCCAGAAAGCCATGCTAGGTCGCAGAACCTGTCAGCAGGGGAGACTTGAAGGAGGAGAGATACACGATTTGACTCTGACCTTGAGATCCTCACTCTGGACACCCTTTCTAGGGTCCCACTGCTGGGGCTAGTGGACGAGGTGATGGGAACCTCTGGCAGGCCCACACACAGAAGAGAAAGGCATTCTGGGGTAACATCTTTCTGAGGGGTGGAATGCAATGGGAGAGAGGCAGAGAGCAACCCTCAGTCAATTCTAAAGTTCCCACCCTGGTTCCAGGAAGAGGTTGAGGGCCTCGGATGGCAGCAGGGAACACAGGAGCAGGAGTGCAGTTGTGATAAGATCGGCAAGGCATCCCTTCGGCAGGTGGATAGCAGGTGGGTGTGTGTCGTAAGGAGGGAGGATCGGGAACCGGTGATATCAATACACCAGTTGACAGAAGTAGAGGTCATCTCTCAAAAAGAGACAGTCCATTCCGCTTCCTGGGCCCACAGGCAAGGGCTCTGGAGCTGACTTAAGTGCACAGTCACGCACAGCTTGTGCCCTAAACACAAAGATGCTCATCGGTGGTGGGTGCTCACCTCAAACTGATTCAGTGTGACCTCCTCAGAGGTGACCACCTAGGCGTCAAATTGGGTGGGCTTCTTTGGTGACAAGCTGTGTCTTCAAAGTTACTGGCCTCATTTCCTTATTTTTTCAACAACACTCACTTCTTGACCTAAGTTCAATATCCTGAAATTAAGTAGAGCCTCTGGCAAATTTTATTGTAGTTGAAAAATGATGAAACTGTGAATACTTCATGACGTGGGCTACACCGAGTTCCATAGCAACACTTGTTGGTTTCAAAACAATAAACATATTGCATTTAATGGTTAACTCCAAACTCCTTTGAGCCTAAGATGAGCCAAAATCCATTGACTCCACTTTGGGGATAACAGGCAGCCCTTATGGTGCCGCCTTAAACCAAGGCTCTGTAGAGACAGCTCTGGAAGCCAGGGGAGACTAAAGGACACCCCTTTAAGAGCCCCCAGCGGTGATGCAGGACTCAAGGAAATGAAGTCACCCGGCTGGGTAGCAGTCAGCACCTTGCTCTCTGCGCATGACGACAGTCACTGCGCTCATGAAGTCTCAAAAGGAAAGCTCTCTCGGGGAGCCAAAATAGCACTTTAAAATAAAGGTCTAGTGCTTCTTTATTTGTTTTACCACTAACTGTCTGGTACAACTTTATATATGTATATGTATGTGTCTGTATATATATGTTGTGCCAATCCCATCCCATCCCTTACACAGAGGAGAAGGAAAATTCAACCCGAGTCTAAAATGCATTCACACGCTCCTGGCGAAAACACAAGAGCCGGGTGTGCTGTGACTGTCTCTCACGAAAGGCAACCTGAGAAGCAGGTTATTCTCAATCAGCTCACACAACCGCAAAGCAACGCTTACTAGGGTGAGTGCTGTGCCATTCTTAAGAGGTTTTTTGCTTGACATTCTTCTCGTCACTGTCACCATTTTTAATCTCCGTATTTAAGTTTTCTAATTTTAAAACTACTTAAAGGACATTCGCGAACCCTGCTGCTTGCATGTTTTACTTGGACACCCTCCCCTTCCTTCTCCGTGGCCCTCTTGGCTAGCTGTCTTCCACACCGAGGCTGGGAGGAATAAATAAGGTCACGCCTGTGTGGTCAAGGTTCCACCAGGGACTGTCATTCCTATTCCGGCTTGATCCAAAGAGCTTAAGAGGCTTTTTTTTTTTTTTTGCTTTTTTAAGAGGGAGAACAAGAAGTAAATACTAACAGCCTATGAATCGGTTTATTCCTTACTTGTAGTAATCCACTCTTAACCAGTTCGTTTATTGGTTAAGAGACAAAACCAACACATCAATAAATAACAAGAGGATAGCTTATCAACATTTTTTTTTCCTGTACCCTCCAAATTCCAGGAATCTGACTGGAGGAGTCCAAGGGCCTATTCTTTCCCAGATCTCTGCCTTCTCTACCTTCCTTTCCCATCACCTCCTGACTTTTTATCCTTCAAAGGACAAGGGCGCCTCCCCTGCCATATGCTCTCATCATGGACAGCAATTAACCCCACACCCACTGGTGGAGCCCTTCTTCCCGGTCACTGCTCAGCAGCCTCTCACGCCTTCGCCTGCTCTGCTCAGCATACATTATTCTCCACGATCTCCTCCTTGCACCAGGCAAAAGCTGCGAGGCCCACTGAGGACCTGGTGGTGGAGGCAGTGGGAGTTTTCAGGTATGAAATGGACAGCAGCAGGGACATTGGGGTAGTTAGATAATCTGTTGTCAATTTGAGAGGATTAAGAGTGACGGGGCGGGGTTTAGCCTGTCAATCAGATCGCAGCTTGATGACCTCATTTGGAGGCACTAAGGAGATGAACAGTTTGCTGGAGGTAGAACACGGGCTGACTACCTGGGAGACATTCCAGCTGAGAAGCCACATGTAGCTACCCTAGTGCCCTGAGCTGAAGGAGCCACGTGAGGGCCCCTGCCAGTGCTAAGATGCTTATAATGCCACTGGATCCACAAGAGTTTCCACCGATTGGCCTTTGATCTTCCTGCATTTGGCATCATTTCATGTGTTTCATGAGTCTGAAGAGGACTTTATAGATTGGTATCGGACAGATGAGCTAATATCTGACTTATGGACTTGATTTGGACTGGGCTAGGACATTTCCTTGATATTCCATTGCTCTTGTATATAAAGCTCTTTCTTATACACATATGAGTGTCGCTCTGGATTTGTTTCTCCAGTCAACCCAGACTAACAGACATTATATATCAGAGTCCTTATCATCAGAGCTTCAATAGACCTGTCATTCAGAGAACATCAGCTCTGAAGGAGCAGGGGCCTGCCTCAAGTTCTCGACTGAACCTTCTGAGGCCTCAGGGCCCCAGATGGGTTCATGAAGAATCGCCATGTCCCCTTGAAGAAGCATGGATATGTAGCAGGGGGAACAGGAGGTGGAGATGAGGACCAGACAGCAGAGTGAACAGAATTTAGGGACTCGGGGATTTTCCTGTAGTTTCCAGAAGG